GCTCTTACCATGGTGCAACCTTATCAATAAAAGAAAATAACATCCCTCAGGGTTAGCTTATATTGTAGATCACTTAATCTAGAGTTACAATTTTAGTAGCACGGTGGAAGTCCGACTTTCACCAACAACATCTTGAAGTTAGAGCTTTCTATGCTAGAGTTTAGGCACTTGGGCTATCTAGATTGGAGATTGGACTCTTCAAGTTAGTAGAAGTGTGGAGATAAGTCTCTTGTGCGTAGAGTCAACGACTGACTGGGGTCTGGGAGGCTGCTTAGGCAACTTGCAATTTACCTCCTTCAATGACTCTTGGACATGAATTTTGAAGACACTTAAATTAGCAGGATTTTTTAGAAAAGATTAACATTAATCTAGCATAAGCTGTAAAATCTAATGTATCAAAAAGAAAATAAGACTCACTTTTGGAAGCTTACAACTATCAATATTTTTGGATAGAACTGAAAAATGTCAATTCTTATCAATAAATACATGTTCTCAAAAAAAAAAAAAAAAATCAATCAATAAAACTTGTGTGAGACTGGTCACATATCTTTGTATGTGATATTGGTTAGGTCAATATGAAAATGTTATACATATATTAAAAAATGTAATATTATGCTGAAAAATATAATATTAATCGTGATCGAATAAGTATTTCTTATAAAGAAAAATATAATACTTCCTCCCTTGAATCTAACGTCATGTAAAAGCTTGAATACTTGTATAACACCGCCAAAGCTACATACATCCATCCTTGTCGTTCCTAAGTTAAATGGCATACTAAATTTTATTGATATAAAATATGATTTTGCATGCATTTTGTAAGTTACACGGTAGAGAAAATGTGATGAAAAATAAAATTGTAATAAATATTCCCAAAACAAAGGGAAAAAGGGTAGGGTAAAAAATGGAGAAGGGTTGGGTAGGTGTAGGGCTAAGCGAGGACACTAACCCTTGTCGTGCGGCTCTTTGGATTCTTTTATTATTATTAAGGGCTTACAAATCCACCCTAGACACACGCATGCCTTACTTAGTTTGACTCAATTAATTATTGTCCCTTCTACTCTAAACTTGTTTATTTAATACAATTTTATCTTTTACTTTAAATCAAAGATACTTTAATTTGCTCGGTTGCTCCAATAACATCCATCTCTCTTCATAACCCTAGCTTCAAATTTTGTCCTTTGTATTATATATTAAGAGTAAATACCTAAAATGGTCTCTCGACTATAGCTAAATTCACAAATTGGTCATCGACTTTCAATTTCAACCAATTAAGTCATTAACTTTGCAATTTTGACACGATTTGGTCCTCCATCTATTTGACCGTTTGTTGACCGCGATCTTTGAGGATATATATGTAGTTTCACGTGCAAAGCTCAAGAGAACACTCTTGGAGGTGACATCGGTGTTTCGGATGGGGAAGTGCTTCTCCACTTGCTGCTTGGGGATCACGAGTCGGTCCAGCTTAGAGAACGCTCTTGGAGGTGAGAGCGCCGTTTCGGAGGGGGGAAGTGCTTCTCCGCTTGTTGCTTAGGGATCCCGAGCCGGTTCAACTTACCTACATCGCTTGGAGTCACGGCTTTCTCGAAGAGCCACTCCAGGGACTTCGGCGATCTATCTATCAAAAGCTATAATCTCTTCGGCATGGGGTGCAGCACCGACAGTGGATTCAAATGTAACAGTGCGGTCTAGAAATGCAACCGAAACCTTAAAAAACCGACGATGGACCATGAAATTACATATATATCCTAAAAAGCGCAGTCAACAAACGGTCAAATAGACAAAGGACCAAATTGTGTTAAAATTGCAAAGTTGAGGACTTAATTGGTTGAAATTAAAAGTCAAGGACCAATTTGTGAATTTAGCTATAGTCGATGGATCATTTTGGATATTTACTCTTATATATTAATATAACTTCTAAAATGTTGGCAAGAATCATATCAATTTTTTATTTAATTCTCATTTTATTTGAAGTGCGGGAATGAAAGGTATATTACAATTAAGTATAAATTCATAAGTTGTACAATGTTTATCATATTACATCCCGTTTGTGCAAATGTTGATTGATATGTGATCAAGAGAGATAAAAAAGAATTTATTCAAAACTTTAACTATATGTTTACTGGAACATTGGAATAAAATAGAGTTTTCAAATATAAAAAATGAATTCTGATACTCACAATAAAATGAATTCCTTTATTTTGGAAAACGTTGATAATCCCTTAAGTTGTATGTATATAATTCTCACCATGCACCTCTTATTAATTAAGAAGGGAAAGAAAATAAGCTAGTAATCCCTTATATATCAATAGTTGATTGTTATATTAAGAAATATATAAAGTAAAATAATATTACAAATAATATAACTCTCATAACAAGAATGTGATAAAACTCAAAAGATTAATATTTTATTAATTTAATCTTTTCTTCATATAACATAAAGACCGACACAAGATATTAACTACATAAAATATGGTAATATTTCTCCTACACAATCAATTAACCATCATACGTGAACGAATCTCTCAAGATTGAAACACTAAACATGTAAAAATCAATTGGAATACCTTCAAATTTTATAACCATTGAATCTGCACATCTATTTACCTTACAAATGTTACAATGCACATGCATCAATCAGCTATCCCAATCTTTATTTTTAGAATAATTTCAGTCAAGTTGATCAGACAATTAATTTAGTAATTATAAAATTTTAAGTTTGATTTTTTATGAGAATGATTTATTAAACATTATTTAGGCTTAAAAGTGAAGAAATTATATAGTGGAAGATATGATAGGGACAATGTGAGCAAGTGTGAATAGTTTAGGGGGGAAGTGTAGGGTGGAAGAGGGGTTGATTGTCATCTCGAAGGGTGCAAAATATCCCACTGATATGTTTGACCGTCAAGAAAGGGAATCAAAAGACGGTAAAAACCACATGGCCACCCACCCCCCTCTCCTCCAAATTTTTAGTTTTATTTAAAAAATAAATAAATAAATTGCTTTGTACGTATAATAAACTATTTAAAGCCTGTCTCTCTCTTATACTCTCTCTCCGCTGTAAAAACAAAAACAAATAAATGGCCTCGGTAATATCATAGGAATCATGCCCAACCCTAGTCTCTCCCAATCCCCAACGTGTAAATAAATATATATGGTAAAGATTTTTATTTTTTATTTTTTTTTTAAAACAAAGACTTTTGACTCATCAACAATCACAATTGACTATTATTATTGCCTACCTAGTTTTGGCCCTGAAATTTTTTTACTGCATCCACTTTGTCAGTGTTTGAAAGTAACAGTCCGCTCACTCAATCAATTTAAATAAATGTGTATTTAAAAATAAAAAAATAAAAATCTATACTTGTCACTTAAAAAATAAATCAGCACCATTTTCCCTTCATAGTTGATTTTATTGTTTTTTTTTTTCCTTCTATATGGAAAAAAATGGAAATTGAATCTAACTCAAGTTTATCCATATCATTGAACAACCTATTATTTAGGTGAATGTATAAGTAAGTCCATTTTCTATTTTCTTAATCCCCAAATGCTTATAGACCATGTTATTGGGAGCCTAAGTTGCTAACAAAGTAAAATTTACAAATTTATTTTGAATTGGTTAATCAATTCAATTGTGTGTCCAAGGCAATTTATTTTCTAGTTATTATAATTAGCAATGAAGTATTTGTAAATATTTGCATGGGGAGATTTCATGAGTTGCCTTGCTTAATTTCTATTTTTCATCGTTGAATAGAGCAATGATAAATTTTCCGTCAATTATCATTTTTTTTGGGTGTATCCAAAGTTTCCACCGACGGACACAGACTAAGTCTGAATTGTAGACACGGCCTTTAATTAAGGATGAATGAGTCCCTTTTACTCAACCACACCAGGTTAAGTGGAAGGGTTTATCATAACAATGTTGAATGAATTTGGAAAAAAACATGTTGAGACTGGCCGGAATATACCCCATAGTCCATACATGTTTAATGTTTTCTCTCTCACACAGCTCTGGGTTGAGTTTATCAGGAGAAATGAAATATGGGAGCAAAGTCAGCTAAGCAGTGAACTTTGAATATAATGTTGGCTGTATCTTCTTGGATTTGCACACGTAACACATTACACTAATCATTCACTGCCACTGCAAAATATATAAAAGTAAAATCGGCACTATTTACTACTGCACAAATACACACACACACACACACATACATACATATACATATATATATATATATATATATATATATATATATATATATATATATATATATATATATATATATATATAATTCTTCTGGCTGAGGCTGTGGCTGTTCAGATTGGACCATAACAAAGGCATGAGGGAATGAAAGCAGAAAGTTGAAGAGATGATTAGGCTGTCCATCCCAGGCGTGAGGTCCCCCTACTCCATTTCTCATCAAATCCATTCTTCTATCTGCCAATGCATGTGAACAAAATAAATTGAATCCTTTTCACCCCCCACCCCACCCCTACAGTGCTGCTATGCTATATATGCTGAGCTTGAGGCTAAAGCATCATGGAATTGAAGGCCTCTCTAACATCAATTTCACTTCCTCTAATTTTATAATAAATTAAAATGACTATTTATAGTCAATTTGATTGATCATTTCATGTCTCAAATGCATGTATCTCTTGTTTGGAGAGGCTGCATTCTAAGACCTTTTGTAGCTAGCTGGTTGGATACATGCATACACCAAAGATGAACCCATCTCTGATCTGACACTTGATTCGTCGTAAATTATATCGTGGACCAGGATTCACCACTTGTCAATAATATATTATATTATTATATACCATCAGTAATAACAAGTACATAATATATTAACTGTAGGTACATAATCTGGACATGGTGGACCCCGGTAAAGCGATTATATTGTTCATTGATTCCAAAAGAAAACTACATACATGTGTTAGAAACTTAGAATCAGTAGTATTATGAGAGTTTGAAAAATGGATTTATGAGAAACCAGAAGCACTGTAGAAAAGCAACACAATCTAGATTTCCATATATGGTATGCTAGTTTTTAATTTCAACAGGTAGGGAACCAACAATGAAGAGATTGCAGAGTGTTATCTACTGGTCTAACAAGCAAGTGGAACATTATATGCATTGTAGTGTTTTAGGTTATAATCTTACGAAGGGAGAGAATATCCTCGGAGGGATGTTGAATCCACCCGAGACTCGCGTACCAGAGCCACACGCCCTGTCCGTGCCACCTGCAGCAGGAAAGAAAATGATGATGTGTATAAATGCACAGCTCGATCAAGACATTACAAGTGGATCGTTTCGCATCCACTTCGATCATCTAAAAGTCGAGATACTCCTCGTGGAACTAAGAACTATTGTGTCCAAGTGGATCGTTTCGCTCCAGGACCTCATGGCCTTCAATTCATATGCTCAATGTGAAGCAAACTATGAGTTTTGGATGAAAGTTTGGGAAAACAAACCTCACAAATACCAAAAGGCTCCAACAGCCTTTGCAATGCGAGCAACTTGTTAAAATCTCCAGTCAACTGCAAGAATTGGCAATATAATAATCAGGTTGAAATTTGAGTTCCCAGATTTAGCTTGATACAATAGGATTGAGCAAGTTTGATAAAATAAATTGGTTTCAGTTGAATTAGTTACTATCAGCATCTGATGGTTCTCGTTTTTCATTATTTAAAATCAATCCATCTGGGAAGATGGATACTAAATTTCAAGATTCTTTCAGTAAGATGATAGAGTGAAAGCTCCTGCAGCATAATTGAGAGGAACAACATGCATGGTAGACCATAACAAGAATCTTAAATTTTATAATGTTAGTCGGTTAGTCCTACCTCCAGAGTTATCGTATGATGAGACACATCAACTGGTTTGGCCCGGAAAATTTTGGCGATATCAAGGACATCCCTCCTGGCAGCAGCATTAGCAGCAATTTTGATCAGCATCAGTTCCCTCTCGGCAAAAGGTAAATGAGTTATATCTTGAACCTGAACAATCCGCCAACCTCATATTAGCCTTTCGATCTCACAGTGATACACACGGGCAAGCAAAATCAGAATTTCCAACAGCAAATACTAATAGAGAACAGAAATGACTTCACCTCGTGAATATCGACCAGCTTGTAAAATTGGCGAACCAATTTTCGAATAGTTTCATCAGTTCCAGGAACGACTGTTGTAATGCGTGATAGCCCCTCTTTTTCAGCAGGGCCTACAGCGAGACTCTGTGCCAAAATAAATTCTTATGTTTTATTTTACTGATTTTCAATTAGAAAAGTTTAACATAAACAGGATAAAGAATGACCTGAACATTATAGCCTCTTCGAGATATAACCCCCGTAACCAGATTCAGAACTCCAGGTGAATCATTAACAAGCATGGTTAGCGTGTGTGATTGAAGCCCACTTGACTGCAACAATAGATGAGATTATGCTTACTAAACCTGTATTGGCACCCTTAGCAGTGGTCCCGTTAGAATCATATAATGCAATATTAGTCAGTCTCCCATCAGTTATGCAGTAGTATTGCAGTCTATATGTTAAGGTTTTCCTCTACTTTCAAGCTTAATGGACAAATAAACATATAAAAAAGATGATCTGAGTGGTTGATAATTTTCTTACATCTTCATCATAGAGAACTCCCCAGTGAGCATCAAGAACTTTATTAACGGAGAAGTCATCATACGCTTCCACAGGATAAACATCACCCTTCATTCAAACAAAAGAACTTAGTCAATCCAAAACATTAAGGGCCATGTTTGGTAAAATAGTTAGCCTATCAGCCAATTTTGGCTTATTTGACCACTATTAGCTATTTGACTTGGTTAAACAATCAATATGAGTGTTTGATTAATTAGCTTTTTGTAACAACTTATTGCTCCAAAATGCTAAAATTAAAAAAGCTGCTCAAAGTAGCTTTTTCGATCAGCTTTTTGAGAAGGTCAATTTGTATGTAATCAGCTAACAACTAACAACTAATTTAGCAAACACTTTTCTACAATCAGCTAATGCTATCAACTAGTCAAACCCACTAATCCAATCAGCTAACAACCATTTACCAAACACCCCTTAATGAAGAAACTTAACCAATCATATATTAATTATGTTTTCTAATTAATTGATAGAGAATAGATATATACTGCAATATTTGGCATGGCATGTAGATATAAAGAGATATCTCGAACGCAATAGAATCAACAATCCAATTGAAGTGTACTTGAAATAATTTCCTTCATTACCATGTAGACTGTAGTTTAGTCAAATGCAGTGAGTTGGCCTAACTTGACATACAGACCGGCTAAGATATACACGCAAATATATTATATCCTTTATACAAGTTGAACAAGCTTGAGAATGATAGAACGTATTGTAGAACTGAAACAGTAGAATTACAAACCCGAGAGTCATTATTCAATTTGCCGTTCATTGTCTGACTGACGTCTTTTAGAGTATCTGCCCCAGACACCGTCTGCTCAAGGTCGGGATAAGAAGCTGCAGAAAACCTCCAAAAGGGGGCTGTCTCACCCAGCTTTTCACGTCTCAGAGAAATCTGTGTTCGCAATTATGTAAACATTCAACATTTTTAATAGACGGCTCGTCTTGCGTGGCAACATAGAAAGAGAAGAACCTTATGTAGTTATCATAACCATCTTACCTTAGGATAAAATTTAGCTTTGAAAGCATGCAGGAAATAATTTTTTTAGATGGCTAGAAAGGACATTTATATGATCTCCCCTTACCATACTCACACAATATCTACTCAATTTCTTCTCCGAGGGATCCTAAATTTTAACAAGCTAACGGTAAATGATTGGTTAATGGGGAAGTGGTAATTCTAAAGCAGTTATGGCCATATAGGTTTGTGAGTATTAATGCATTTCAAAGATTGAAAATGAACCTTTCCGGTTCTAGCAAGCTCCTTTATTCCAAACTTCTTCAAATTTCTAAGAACAGCTGCCATCTTTCCTGGGTCACCTGTTACCTGGGCCAATAATAAGCAGGGTACTTCAATAAACAAGTATATACAGCCATATTGGGGCTTAGGGTTTAGGATTTTAAGTTTGTAAGTAATGGAGGAAAAACCACAAGTCCTTTAAAAATACTGTAATATTTTTAATAAAAATAATCAAACTAACAAACTCTAAATATGTGAAGTCTAAATATATGTTGAAATATATATATATATATATATATATATATATAATCAATGAGAATTAGGTAGCACGGTGCATTTGGACATGCTTTACAGTACATTGATAAATGTCACAGACTAGATTGTGTGCAATTCGCCCAGCATGAATGCACCAAGCTACCCTGTGTGCATTCGTGTAGTAGCTTGTGTGCATTTTCGAAGGGTCTCACGGGAACATGTGAATGCACTTGAATATTAGCCTATATGTGTGTGTGTGTTTTGACATGTTGAGGCTTCCAATCTGTGTGTACACAGGCCACAGTTTGACTCCTAACCACAGGTGCAATACAGACCAGATACAAGAATACTCAAATGCTAATCTGGTGGTAACACGTACACTAGCACCTACTAGTATTAGTTGAACACATTAATGCTGCAGTAAAAATCTGACAACTATCCTGATTACAATAATTGCTAATCGTACTAAATCCAGGAACAAAAACCGAGTAAAAGACAGAACCCTTATGGAAATAAAATCGCATGAAAAAGCAAATAGTAGTTACCTCTATGGTCACGGAGTGATCTGATTTATCAACAATTTTTGCTCTAAAGATATCTACCAACCACATTATCTGAATATCAAATCCAACATGAAGAGCCTCAAATTAGACTCATACGTTCAATGACTTAAAAGAAGCTAGAACAAGTGAACAGGAACTAAATTGTATGGAACAGATTGACAAAATAAGGATTTGAATATACTTCTGCATTTGTGTCTGGCTCTGCATTAACTTTTATTAGCATCAATTCTCGTTCTACTTGAGGCTCCATGGACAGATCATCCACCTGATCAATGAGACAGCACGGAATTACTGAGTGCAGACAGTAAAAAATCCACCATCCAAATTGTTTTTTTTTACAGGAAAAGTAGGAAATAACCTTCAAGACATTGACGAGCTTGTTGAGCTGCTCTACAACTTGCTGCAAAACCTTTTCAGTTCCAGAGACAACTATGGTGAAGAGCGCCCTGTCTTTATTCAACCCAACAGCAAGAGACTCAATGTTATAACCTCTACGGGCAAAAACTCCAGCTATTCGATTTATGATACCACTTTCATCCCCAACAAACACCGAGATGGTATGGCGCTTTACCCTGAGATATATACAAAGTTAGTTAGACTTGCAAAAAAGGGATCCACTTGCTCAGTATCTTCGAATGAGTTTTTTCCACTTTTGATCCCATATTTCCGCATTTGGTCCTAATTATTAATTTTTTACATTTGGTGCTTTTAAATCCTTGCAACATTTGGTTCCTCCAACCTAATTTTTAGTTACCATTTATCAATGACCAAATTTTGAATGCAGACTCTATTACATTGTAGTATCTGTTCAAACATACTTTCTCAATATATTAAGAGCATAAAAAGTCAACAATGTCTCCACTAAAGATCAATCTCATGACCTCCAGTAGAAAAGGTCACTACATACCATCTAAGCACAAAATGTTTTGCATTGCATATTATGTGTTTGTATTACAGACAGATATATATCGTTATAGAGTAAGTAGTACTAAAAAAATAAAAATAAAAAACAAAAAACAACAAAACAAAAAAAGGTACCGAGAGAGAGGAGGCGAAGGAGAAGAAACGGAGGCAGTTTGGGCGAGGGAAACAGAAGCATTATCCGCACCGCAACTTCCACTAGCATTTGCAACAACCTTGGTGAAATGCTTTGTTTTTGGCCGGAAAACGAGCAGCGTCTCCGCCGCGCTGGGCGGAGGCGATTTGCTGAATGCTGGTGGCGCGTTCTTCCTCGTGCCGGCCATCGGGCACTGCAACGCCACCGCAGACATAGTGGTAGCGAGTAGCGACACCGTTCTTCTTAGCTCAGCTTCAAGTAAACAGTGAAAGAAGTGAAGAGGAAACTGGAGGCTGTAGTTGTGGCGCAAGTTGGACTATTTTTTTCCAATTTTTCACTCTCGGAGTAGTAGTATTTAAAGAAAGGGGTCTCCCGCCACGTCACACGTTGGGACCACCCGATTTGGACAAATCACTTGTTCTACTTGTACTCTCATTACTCAATTTTGTTATTTTTTGTGAGTTAATTCCAACAATGGTCCTCTGACTATATTGATTTTTCAAAATTAGTCCTTGACTTTTAATTTGGACACTTTAGGTCCCCTGACTTTCAATTTCTTTTCAATTGAGGTCCTTTCGTCAGAATACAGTTAATTGAATTTTAAATGAAGGGGTAAACTCATCATTTCACCTGCCTATGTATTATTCTTAATATTTCTCCATTGTATATGCGATATATATGAAGATAATCTTAGTCGAAACCCTAAAATGTTCCTCGTCGTTCTCCATTTGCTGACTACTCGTGTGTGCGTTTCTCTATTATTGAGATGTTTACAAGGTATAACAACGAAATACGAAGGGAGAAATACGAAGAATAATACATAGGCATGTGAAAGGACGAGTTTACCCCTTCATTTAAAGTCTAATGAACCATATTCTAACGAAAGGACCTCAATTGGAAATAAATTAAAAGTCAAGGGACCTAAAGTGTCCAAATTAAAAGTCGAGGACTAATTTTGGAAAATCACTATAGTCGGAGGACTATTGCTGGAATTAACTCTATTTTTTGTTTCCAGTTTTCAATTTATTTTATACGTAATATTTTACAGTATTATTTTATATATGCATATCGTACGTTTTATTACTGGTTAATGATATATTTAACTTTTTCCGTATTGCATTATGGATATAAATTATATAATAATAATAATAATAATAAGTTAATAGCTATATAATATATGAAAAATTTACGGATGAAATCTTAAATATATAATCATTTTTCTTGTTTAAATTAAACAAATAATGAAGCTTGTGTTGGGCCAGACGACTGGGTCCTAGCTAGCTAGTACCATTGCATGCTTTCTCTTAAACACTTCTAAGAGCAACGTGAAACACGAATTTAATTTAGTTTAGTTTAGTTTTTTTTTTTTTTTTTTTTTTTTTTTTTGGTCAGTTTTATGTGAGTTGGATGAAAGAATTAAAAAATGTAAAAAATTTAAGGTGGTTAGGCTAATCCTATTAATAAAAGGATGAGACTTGTAAAGTGATGTGAAAGAAAAATAAAAATAATATTTTTAATTGTTAATTGTGTTGTAAGTTTGCAACACGCAATTTTTGCAGTCATTTGGCAGCATTTGTATGTTCTTTATATATTTATATATATTAAAAAATATGTATTAATTTATTATTATGACGTGAATGTATATGTTTTCTGAAAATGAGAGAGTATTATAGAAATATTAAAACAAAATGTAAAAATTACAAATTTGATAATAAGGAAGTATGGTCAACTAGACGAATGAGTGTCATTATTTTTTTTTCTTCTCAAAAATTATGCGTCTAGCAGAAAATTATGTTCTACAGATTCAAACTCTTTTTACTGTCTGTTTGGTGGGATGTAATTGAATTACAATTCTAGAGAAAATTATGTCCTATTTTATTCATTAAATTATAATTCATTTCCTCCCTAATTTCCGAACAACTGGACATATTCATTACTTTTATTAAAAATGTTCACTGGGCCAACCGAACAGGTTCTAGTGTTCTACTATGGTCGATAATAGAGTTTGGGAAGACAGGAAAACATATAGAAAACGCGAATGTAGAGTAGATGATAGCAAGGAGACGGGTTTCTTCCTTCTCCACCGCAACAGCCTCCAACATTGGGAATCTGCTCGTCGTCGCTTCCATCGCCAAAGCTTTAGCGAAGCCCGGAGGATCGCAGAACCTCGACGGAAATGGAAGTGACTCCGCCGCCGTTCCCCTTTCCGAAGACGTCGTCCTCCAAGTCCTCCGCCGCAACTCCCTCGACGTCTCCAAGAGGCTGGATTTCTTCCGATGGTGCTCTCTCCGCCCCGACTTCAGACACTCCGCCGCCACCTACTCCCAGATTTTCAAAACCGTTTGCGGTTGCCGCGGCTACCACGGCGACATCTTCGGGCTGCTGGACTCCATGAGCCACGACGGCGCGAACCTCGATTCCGCCACTTTCAAGCTGCTCCTCGACTCCTTCATACGGGTCGGTAAGTTCGATACCGCGCTCGAGATTTTGGAGTTTGTAGGAAGCAAGTTTTCCGATGACATTGTTCGCAATTGCTTGAGCAATGATGTGTATAACTCCGTTCTGATTGCCCTAGTCCATAAGAATCAGGTGAAAATGGCCTTATCCATATTCCTGAAACTGTTGGAATCCAGTAACAGTAATGATGATAATACGAATGGTGAATTCGTAGAAGATGCCCTAGCCTGTAATGAGTTGCTGGTTGGCCTCAAGAGGGCTGAAATGAGAGCTCAATTCAAGCAAGTCTTTGATAAGCTCAGAGAAAGGAAGAATCCTTTCCCATTAGACAGATGGGGTTATAATATCTGCATTCACACTTTTGGGCTATGGGGAAATTTGGCCACTTCCCTTATGCTGTTCAAAGAAATGAAGGAGAGGGGTAATGCCTTTACCCCTGATCTCTGCACTTATAACAGCCTAATTCAAGTCCTCTGCGTGCTCGGGAAGGTGAAGGATGCTCTCGTTGTCTGGGAGGAAATGAAGGGTTCCTCAGGTCTTGAACCCGATTACTTTACTTACCGCATTCTCATCCAGGGATGCTCGAGATCATACCGAGTAAATGATGCCATGAAAATATTCAGTGAGATGCAGTATAATGGGTTGTGTCCTGATACCATTGTTTATAACTCCCTCTTGAATGGATTGCTAAAGGCTAGGAAGTTAACAGATGCATGCAATCTGTTTGAGAAAATGATTGAAGATGATGGTGTTAGGGCTAGTTGTTGGACATATAATATTCTCATCGATGGCCTGTTTAAGAATGGAAGGGCTGTGGCTGCTTATACATTGTTCTGTGATTTGAAGAAGAAGAGTAATAGTTTCGTGGATGGGATTAGTTACAGCATTGTTGTTTTGCATCTCTGCAGGGAAGGCGGGCTTGACAAAGCAATGGAGTTGGTGGAAGAGATGGAAGCCAGAGGCTTTGCTGTTGATTTGGTTACTATAACTTCACTCTTGATTACGATTTATCGGGAAGGACGCTGGGACTGGATGGAGAGGCTTATGAAGCATATTAGGGACAAGAATTTAGTTCCTATTGTTCTAAGGTGGAGAAAATCTATGGAGGCTATGCTGGAAGTTCGACAGAGTAAGGAAAAGGATTTTATGGCAATGTTTCCATATAGCGGTGACTTCACAGATATTTTAAGAGTTGGAGATTCAGTAGAGACAGAGGCTTACACCAGCCTCTGTGATGATGAAACTGATCCTTGGTCATCATCCCCATACATGGATCTGCTCGCTAGTCAAGCGAGCTCTGGCAATTTCTCTCCACATATGTTTACACTTTCCAGAGGGAAACGTGTGGATGGTAAGGATGCAGATTCATTTGATATGGACATGGTCAATACCTTCTTGTCAATATTCCTGGCTAAGGGGAAATTGAGCTTAGCCTGCAAGTTATTTGAGATTTTCACAAACACTGGTGCTGATCCTGTAAGCTACACATATAATTCTATGATGAGTTCGTTTGTCAAGAAGGGATACTTCAATGAGGCATGGGGAGTTCTGCGTGAAATGGGTGATAAAGTTTGCCCTGCAGATATAGCAACATATAATGTGATTATTCAAGGCCTAGGAAAGATGGGAAGGGCAGATCTGGCCAGTGCTGTCCTTGATAGACTAATGAAGCAGGGTGGTTACCTTGATATTGTGATGTATAACACCTTGATTAATACACTAGGCAAAGCAGGGAGGATTGAGGAAGCAAACAAGCTTTTTCAACAGATGAAAAGCACTGGGATAAATCCTGATGTTGTCACTTACAATACACTTATTGAGGTTCACAGCAAGGCAGGGCGACTTAAAGAAGCTTACAAGTTTTTAAAGATTATGTTGGATGCTGGGTGTGTCCCAAACAATGTAACTGACACAATTCTAGACTTCCTTGAGAAGGAGATTGAAAAGGTACGATACCAAAAGGCCTCGATTAAAGGCCCTAATGTAGATGCTTCCTTGTGAGTAGCCAAAGACAATTTGAGGCTGCTAATTTATTTCTATTCAGTATTTCAGTGTTTAAATCTCCTAATTGAACGTACAACTGGCTTTAGATATTCTACTTTCTCATTTGTTTTGGTTAAAAGTTTAAAATTGTTTAGTGAGTGAAAACATGGAATAGTTCAAAAGCAAGATGCGTGTATGAAGTGCCTTGTTGAAGCCTATAAAAAGCCCGTTTCACACTTTCATTAAAGATATATAGTCAATTAACATTAATGACAAACTAGCAAAAACATACACAACAGCACTATTCTTAAACTGAAATGCACACCTTCAAAGCGCCACGGCTGTGAGAAAAGACATTGTAACTTATTGGTCGTTCCCTACACCAAGAATCCACTGTGCAAGATGAGTTAAATATGGCTCTGCTCGAGAACCACTGCTAAAAATTGGTCCCAGGCTCTGCAGCTCAGCTGTGAATTCCCTCTCGAACTTCCTGCAGAGTATTCGTGAATTAATACACACAAATGGGAAATGAAGGGTTGAGAGAAAATCGAGCCATCTTGATAACTTACATAATGGATTCAAATACTGTGGCATCTTCACTAGCTGGTTTCAGCTTCTGTGATCGGGACCTCAGCTTTAATCGACTGAACTTTTCCATCTGAGGTGCATCCTGAGGCAAAGTCCCTGTCACAGGAGCCTCAAAGGCAGTGGTAATTAGCCGTTGAGTAGCTGCTGCATATTGTAGACATAGAGATTTTAAACGCTCAACCTTCTGCATAAAAAGAATAACAGCCAGTTAGAATTCAGAAGTATTCTACACTTCCACCAAGTTTGAAGCCAATAGAAGGGACTAAAGATTTACCTTCAGAATAGCAGGTGAGAGAAGCAAACATTCTCTCAGGCACTTGTCAAGAAAAAAATCGTGGTACTGTATCACCTGTTTACCAGGTAAAGGTAGGTGGAAGTAGGGAATTCAATTAGACAAACTAGATCAGGTGAGATACACAGCTGCCAAAGCAGTTAGTAACATAAATATATGATTAAATCATGCATCTTGAATTGACCATCTTAGTAAACATGAATCTCATGAGAGTATGAGACCTCTCACCTCATCAATGCTTTTTGCAGTTTGAAGTCTGCTCTGCATTACATGCCAATTAGGCTCAAGAACCTAAAGAACATAGACAACATCAGTAAATACCTGCAATGGAACCTCTGTCCAACAGTGAAGAAACATAGTTTAATATGAAATGATGTTTGACAGGATTGTATCCCCTGTGCATTGATTGGAACACATTTGTTCGAGAGTTTTATTTCTGTGGAAACCGGCCTTAAGTTGGATGCACCATATTGGTGTCTCTTTTGTGAACAAATTGTACTGATTAAAAAATTAGCAAAAAAAAAAAAAAAAAAAAAACAGTACTCCGTATTAAAGAGTCATCATTTAGTTCAAAACCTACAATAACTGATCCAAAATTCCAATTACTCATGCAATTAAAAGAAAGAGTTAATTTCAGCAATGGTCCTCCGGCTATATTGATTTTTGAAAATTAGTCCCCGACTTTTAATTTGAACACTTTACATCCCTTGACTTTCAACTTCTTTCCAATTGAGGTCCTTTCATCAGATTACGGTAAAGTGGACTTTAAATGAAAGTGAAAAGTATTTATTCCATTTGCCTAATGTATAATTATTCGTATTTCTTCCTTGTATACGCGACTTCGGACATCAGATTCACTTAATTGCTTAAACTCTAATGGAATTTTGTTCTTTCAAGTGGATTTTGGGATTAAGCAATTAAGTGAATCTGATGTCTGAAGTCGCGCATACCAGGGAGAAATACGAAGAATTATACATTAGGCATATGAAATAACTACTTTACCCTTTCATTTAAAGTCCAATTTAGTGTAATCTGACGAAAGGACCTCAATTGGAAAGAAATTAAAAGTCAAGGGACGTAAAGTGTCCAAATTAAAAGTCAATGACTAATTTTGGAAAATCAATATAGTCGGAGGACCGTTGCTGGAATTAACTATAAAAGAAACAACGATTTCACACATTTGGCACATTCCCACAACCAAATACAGTAAAAGTGAAAATTATACCCTCAAACAGCTATCAACAGATAACATAAATATAGAAGTATTTTCCACACTTTTCTTTTCATTATTGGTAAGACTTGCCTCAGATGTCAGGTAGTGCAGGAGGCTGTTAATAAATTTTAGCATATTGCGACATAGTAATGATGATACAGAGACTGCAGTGCCATGCATATCAAGTTTCCGGACACCCTACAAATAGAAGAAAAATACATGTCAGAGGAGAGCAGATAAAAAGTTTGCCAACAGTTGATAAAGAAGTTTAAGCCACATACTTGATGTACTTGCCATGCCCCAGAGAGCTGTCGGTCAACATGTTTACAGTGAAATAGAAAGCGAAAAATTAGTTGGTATTTTATCAGGGCCTTCCTTGATATTACGAGGGACAATGGCCATTGAACCTGAAATTCAAACAACTTATAAGAACCACAATTGTAGGCAACATGGATGGAGAAACATTTCAAATGTATTACCTTTATTTTATTATATATTTTATGTTAAATCCCCATAAGTTCATAAGTTGCAGGCCAAGAATAACAGCATTTCAGAATGAGAAAAGGAATATAGAACAGAATTTACACCCTGGATGCAATTAAGTAAGCCAGGCGGCCTACAATAAAAGATCAATACCATAATAACTATAGAAAGAGGCAGCTAGTTGAAATTACAACCTAACAAGATACATCAGATAAAAGCAGCAAATGTAAGAAAAAAATACTGTTTGTTACCGCAATGGTGTATGAGCAACTCAATATATTCATTCAATGTAAAGATAATGCCTTTTGAAATACACACATTTAAAATAATATGCATTTCATACCTTGTAATTCAAAGAAAATGTTTCCAAGCCAGTAATGCTTATTGGTTCCTCTAAATTGTGACCATCTGAAACAAACTGAATAACTTCAAGATCTTTTAGAGTACTCAACCTTTTTAACAAAGTAGTTCTCTCCTGAAACCAGAAATTGAAAGTCAATACACTCTTGCAGATTCATCGTCATGTTCTCAGAATTGAAAGTGATAGTCCTTTTTTATCTCCTCTTCATTGGTGAAAGTGCTACTTACCACACAACATGACAAGTCCTCATGGCAAGGATCAGCTGCAGCAGCTGTGGTTCGCAGAGCAAGGTCCAAAAGAGACTACATAATACGAAAACATATGATCCAAATATCAGGATATTTTGAGCTCAGACATTTTATCAATATAGAAGATTGATTATGAAAAGAACTATCAAACGTATAATCCCTAAACAACTACAGAGTATTTATGTAAAGTAAAAAAGACCTGAAGTTTCTCCACTGAAATCTCATCTGGCTTCTTCATGAGCTCCTCTCTAGCTATATCCATGAAGTGAACCAAGAAATCACCCTGCATAATCAGTCAAAAAATGGTTACAAAAGTAAGTTGATTGAGGAATAGGGCATCTTTTAATGAAGATAAAGAGTAAAATCAGTAACCAATGTAGTCAAGAATCCAATACTGCCCCCCATGCCCTATCCCAAAAAAGTACACCCAGAAACATATTTTAGACATGCATGCTTGTAAAAACACAAAGCCATAGTCCATGCATGAGGGCATGAAACTACCACAATGTGGCCTCTAGGGAGGATTAGATGAACAAACCTATTCTTTCTACGCAGAGTGGGCAGACAACAAATAGAATAAAGAGATAATGAAATGTGAACAACAGAATTAATCTAGAAGCAAGGTCTAGAAAGTGCACCATTTAATAGCTACAGAACCAAAAATGCATTGAGTCATTGACTCATGCATATTACCATAAAGAATTGGGGGAACAATATATTTGGAATTCATCACCAGAAACTACCCACTCAATCACCAATTGACTTCTTAATTCCTAGGCCTATTACATTGCTTTGCTGAATTGTTAATACCTGATCAAGAAGAAGGTAGTGCTTGATAGACCGCAACTTTGCCATAAGATCATACTGCCAAAAACAATATGAAAATTAAGAATTTCACTTAACTAAAAATTCTTACTGTTTTTTGCCAAAAGGACAAGTTATTTCACTTCTCACCTTTTCTTTAACTAGATTTAATAGCTCACCACTGGCAAAATCATAAGCAGCCTTGATGCACTCAAGATAATGGTGATTTGAACCAAAACTAGTCAACTTTGAATTTTCTGCCACGGGAACCTACCAAAAGTAACCCCTGATCAAGAATATCTGCTAACAATGCTGTAGGTGATAACAAAGAAAAGAAAGCATATAAAAACATATTTTGTTAAATTATGTTATAAACCTGAATACTGTGTCCACACTCTCTCATGACATTCAAATATTTTCCAGTTGTTAAAATTGTTTCAGCAGCACTTGCAAGAAAACTTGGAATGTCACCCTCGAGGCTGTAACGTTGTTGCCAATACTTGGCATCATAATCTTCCGTGAGACTCTCCTACATAAGAGGGAGAGATATCAACTAAGGCATAGTTCTGATGCAAGTCTTTGTATACAATATCTCATGCCTTTTAACCCAATACTTTTAAAAAGAAAAAATTACACTTTGTAAATGAAGTGGTGGATTTGGTCCCTAAAGTAAGGGTTTTTTTTTAAAAGCCCTAGGGATCAAATCTGCCACTTCGTTAAAAACTTAGAAACTAAATATAGTAATATACACTGCAAATAACTGAGAGACTAAATCTACACCACAGTCACAACTAAGGGACTAAAAGTGTTACTTTCCCATTAAAAAAAAAAAAAAAAAACAAAAAAAACAAAAAAACTCCTTACCTTATGAAGAGACTTGTTCTCAGCAATAAAAAATTCGCCATAAGGGTCATCAATCTTTCCCTCATACACCCACCTGAAATGTATTAATGATTTTGGTTTGAGCAATGAAAATAACTACTACTGACCCAAAGAAACAGTAGAAACTTCCTTTTAAAGATAGAGTTATAAACAAGATCCCAGATGCCTGATGGCAGCACCAGAGACTTGGCCGTAGCCCATGACAGGCAGGATGGTTCACCTTTAATTTCAGCTAATAA